TCCAGCTGTCATCCTGCACCCTGGCCATGTGCCTCCTCGGACGCCATCCTAATCCTGCCCCTCCCCCATCGCCGCATTCGGCCCCGCAGGCAAACAAGCATTGGGGACTTCGGAAAAGCGAGACCCGCACGCCAAACCCCGCTCCCCGAGCCCGAGAATCGAAAACCCCCGAACCTCAGTCATCTGACGCTTTATATGGGGCAAATAGAACTGCCACAAGTGATCATTCTCCGAAGAATGGCAACTCTCCTGATGGTTAACCAGCGCCTCCTTCATTTGTTGCAAACGGGGCGGGGATAGTGTGCTCCCGTAGCTGCAGTTGCCAGCAGCGCTCATGATGACCAGGTATCTGTAGAGGCCCGAGTGCCTCCGATCGGAGAGGGCGCGCGCGACCCGACGACGGAGAGGTTGGAAGGGGCTGACATGGCAACAACGCCAACCAAAAAAGCACAACATGACCAAACAAAACGATGACATCTCGCGCGAAAGCCCTCGGAGACGCGAGAATCCAAGACCCCCCCCCCGCAGCCCCTTCCAACCGACATGGTTTCGTGGGTGTTTCGAAGCCCGACAGGCACCGAAGGGCACCCTTGGTACAGTTGTTCAATTGATGGGATAGGTCGTACTCCACTTGCACGTTTAAATCTGCCCCGCCATATGCCATAAAATGATCTGCCGCTGTCATATCTGGCCCTGCATCTGGGCACAATGATAAAATCGGCCAACTGAAAGGGTCACCTGCAAGTGTCCCGTCTGGAGCCCTGGGGATCTTGAACCTATGAAGCGGCATCCCGATACCACGGAGCTGATTGTCTAGCATGCGCAACACGGTGAAGGTCTTCACGCGGCGCCGCTTGGGAGGGGGCTTCCCGTTCTCGCCCTTCTCCAACTCAGCCCCGAGCTTTCTTTTCACGACCGTCCTGAGAAGTCCCAATGCAAGCCCCCCCATCCGCTCCGAAGCCCCAGGCCCTCCAAAGTTCACCCGCCCCGAAGCTGAAGCCACGTCCGAACTCTGCCCGCTCCGACCGAAGCCCCAGAGCCCCCCGACTCGACCCGCGGACGCTCAGGCCCCATCAGAACCCCGCCCGCCCCGAAACTTCAGAGCCACCCAACTCGACCCGCTCGGGCGCTCAAGCCCCTCGGAAGCCTACCCGCCACGTGGCCGCGCACGCTCCAAACTCCAGAGTGGCCGAATCCCCCTTGGCCAACCACCTTCTCCTCGCCCTCGAACCCTCTCCGACCTCCTTCCCGAGCAACTCGGACCGCCCTCTCCCCCCCCCCAGGCCCACCCCTCCTTCCCCCCATCGCCACCTCCTCCTCATCCGCCCACCCGCCCCTCCAGCCCGAATCCGCCGCCCCCTCCCCCCAGTGCTGCGGCGGTCCTGAAGTGCAATCTGTGGCGCTCCTTGGCCTCGTCGATCTCCGTGGCATTCTTCAAGAACGCTGTCTCCGAGAGGTGCTGGGGCGGGACCTGGGCGCGCGTCGGGGGGGGGGCCCAGGAGGCCCGAAACGCCCTCGAAACGGCACCGAAAAGCAGCTCCGTAGACGGGGGTGAGTCGGAGGGGGGGCGCCCCCGCTCGAGACATCCGCGCAACTCTGGGCGACAACTCACCCCCACCCCCGCTCCCGGAGCAATGGTCTCGGCCCAGTTTTCGCCCCCCCCGAGGCCCCCCCCCCAGAGAGCCACCCCCGCCCCCGGACGGTGGCGACGTCCCGAGCGCCCCATCCCCCCCCCCCGCGGCCCGAAGGGGGCGAGCCTGGGCCAGAGCCCACAGGGCCAGGTGCCTGGGACCAGGGCAGCAGCTAGCAAGGGCAAGAGCCAGGGTCAAAACCCACGCGGCCCGACGGGAGGTGGGGCACCTGCCTGATTCTGAGGCAAGGGATGCCAGCGGCGCCACGGGCCTGGGCCACGGGCCACGGGGGTGGGGCAGCTGGGCGTCGACCGCCAGGGCTTGAGACAGGAGTAGGATGGGGCAGGGGAGAGGAGGCGGGTCGCGAAGCAGCGCGCAGGATGGGAAGGACGCGTAACCCCAGGAACGGCAACGAAACCAAGAGGACGATAGGTGCGGGAGACGGCTGCAAGCACGGATGGGGCGACATATCAGGGGGATGGCGGAGGAATTGGAGCAGGGCGAGGAAGGGGGAGCCGCCGCCGTCGATTCGATCGAGAACTGAAAACGCCACGACCTGGAACACCTACATACTGCAAAGCCCATCCGAAACCTGTGCGCGTCCCACGATCAATACCTCGCATGCGCGGCAATGCCCGCGCAAGGACTTATACCGCCCATCAGCGCAGCGCAAGGCACATGATGCGCGCAACGCCGAGCGATGTACAATGACGTGCATGATGAGAGAGCCGCCAAGATGTCAGGTGAGATGGGCGAGGGGACCAGTTGCTCAATATTCTGAGGGTCAGGATGGAAGGGGGGCGAGGGCACATGAGGCGAAGGAGAAGGATGACGACGAAGAAGAGGAAGTGATGGAATGAGATCTGTCGTAGCCGCCGACTGCGGAGGAGCGTCTGGACATCATCCAAGGCCCCCAGGAGATCGCTTTCCGTCTCCGAGATGGGCCCTCATGGCGTCGTGGTCGCCCTCGCGGGCCTCGGCGAAACAGCAGAGCGCCAAGTGGGCGACGCTGGGTGGGGGAGGGGGGGCAATGATACCACGCAAAGTGCAGATGCTGATCACGGCGGTGCGTTGCTGCATAATTACAGCTAACGCGTTGGAAACTGGAGCGGCCCGACAAGGGGTCTGACCGAGAGGGGGCCTCGGCGAGGAGGAATGTGGAGCGCCCCATGCCTGAATGAGCCTGCGGGGGGAGGATGAGGGCGAGGGCGCCAGCCGAATTGCCGATGGCGGCCCATGTCTGCCGACGGGCCCCGCGCGCCCACCTCGGTCGGGCCGTGACCCGCTGTTCAAACAATCATCTAAAGCCTGCTCCCACCCTCCCCATCCATCCTCCGACTCCTGCCCCGACATCCTCCCCCTCCCCCCCGACCTCCGCCTCCTCCTCCTCCTCATCACCATCGTCGCCCGTGCTCCACCTCCTCCCCCTCCGCCCTCCTGCCCCGACCTCCTCCTCCCCCGCCCTCCTCCACCGCTATCTCCCGTGCGGCACGGTGCGGCATCACTCCAGCTTGTCCGAGCTCTTCGCGCGCTTCAGCGTGACGGGCTGCTCCTCGGGGGGGAGCAAACATGGCGGGGCTGCGAAATCACGCCGCGCGTATGGGGGAGGCGCTCTCAATCCAGACGGGCGAGGTCCCCGACGACGTCGGAAACCCCAGCGAGATCCCCGACGGCGTCGGAAACCCCGAGGTCCCCGACTACGTCGGGAACCTCGAGGTTTCTCGTCGAGGTTCCCGACGACGTCGGACACCTCGACGAGCGCCGCGGCGCGGCCTCTTTGACATGCGATTTAAAACGGACCCTCTCACACAAGGCAGACGCACGCTGCCAATAGGAAGGGGGCCGACGCAGGGGCGCACCCCTACATGCAAGCACAAGGGCGGGCACCACCACGCAAACCGCTGGCAAGGCGACGAGGCCGATCAACTGCGTCGGTATGTTCCCCCCTGGGTCCTGCGCTGTCCGCGGCCGCCCCCCGTCTTCCCCTCGCCCTTCTTCCACATCCCCCCCTCCACCTCCTCAGTCCTGCGCGGGCCTCCTCGTCTGCTGGCCGTTCCTGCAGCCTCTCCCCCGCCTGTTGGTGCCCCTCGCGCCGTTCTTGTGCACCTGCCCCGCCTCCCCCTCCTCTTCGGCTGCCCCTGGCCCTTCGGCTACCTGATGCTGCGCTGCTGGGCCCGCGCTCCCTGATGCTGCGCTGCCGCGCCCCCCCCCCCCAACCTCCTCAAGTACGCCACCCCCCCCCGACCCGCCCAATCCGAGTCCGCCGCCTCCCAGGCAGAGGCCATTGCTGAGCTGGGGCCGTGGCTGACCAGAGCTGTGAGCAAAGTGCCTGTACCGTTGCCTTTGTCAGTTTTGCCATGGCCCTCTGCCTCTCCCTGCTCACCACCATCCTCCTCTTCTCCGCCCTCCCTTCCGTTCGTGCCGCCCTGGACATCCATCGCGGCCTTCCAGGCCGCCCTGCGAGCTAGCTGCACCCCCCAGGGCACAGGCTGCCAAGTGGGAACGTGCAAACCGCCGCTCGTTAAACGCGCGCCACTGTTTCTCATCCTGTGGGACATTCGTGAACACGTGGCCCCCTGCTTCCATCGAGGAGGGCCCTGCGGCTGCTCGGCTATGGCTGGGAGGCCTCTGCCAACTCCCTCCGCCGAGGCGCGGTGCCCCCCCCCCCCCCCCCCCCCCCCCTCCAATCCATGATCTCCTCATCGGACGCCTCCGCTCATGCCCCGTCCGCCCCCGCAGCCGAATACCGCCCCCGCCTCTGCCTCGTACTCCTCTGACTCCCCCTTTGCGCCCTCCTCGCCCTCCAGAGCTGCTGGAAGGTCGACGACCTGGGAGCGCCCCGCAGCGTCGGCGCCGCTGCTCCCCGCGGCGTCGGGGCCGCTGCCCCTCTCGGCGTCGGCCCCGCTGCCGCAATCCTCGAAGGGGAGTGGCGGAAGACGGACGGGGTGGGCGGGGAGGGCAGCGGGGCGACAGCGAGGACGATGGGCACGAGGTAGCAAAGGGAGGAGGTGCGAGGCTGGACGGCACCCCGCGGTCCTGGTCGGACATGCGCTTCAGCGTGAGGACGCGCACCTTCTTGCCGTCGATCTCCTCGGGGTGGGCGGGTGACAAGAATGGTAGCGATCGCATCGGGGGTGGGGTCATCTTCCCCCTCGTCCCTCTCATCCGATGCCTCATCCTTGGGCTCCTCACAATCCCAATCCTCGCCCCTTCCCGCGTGTCCTGGACACGGAAGCCGAACTTGCGCGCGCCGCGGTACTTCTTCGGCGGCGGCGCGAGCCCGCGCGACTGGGGTGATAGAGAGATGGAAGGGTCCGAAGAGACGGAGGAGAACATGAAGGAAACCGTTCGACCCAGTGCCGCCGTGACACACTCGTCATCGTAGATGTACTCCCTGCTGCCGTCGCCCTCGCCGCGGAGCCACTGCTCGAACTGCTCCCCCTCGGCCTCGCTGCCCTCCCAGCTCTGCGACGCGGGCGTGGGCGGCGACTGCTGGCTGACCTCTGAGGCGGCAGCGGCGCGCGGTAGTGAAGGATGCAATGGGGCGGGATAGGGATGTCAGAGGGGGGGGGGGGGTCGAGAGCGAGAAGGTCTGAGGAACCAGACCTCGGCGTCGCCCCTCTCGGCGAGGCCCTGCGCCGCGATCGCATCGAGCTCGGGCTTGGACAGCCTGCAGGCGTCCGTCTCCGACAGCGTGGCGGCCCTCCTGAAGTGCTGCTGCTCGCGCTTCGTCAACTGGCGGTCCTCGTCCTGCGCCAGCTCGTCGCCCTCGGGGGGGGCGAGGCAGGGGCGGGC